GCCTAGATAATAAGTTTTTTAATTTGGACTAGTTTCGTAGCCCAATATTAATTTATTTTAGCGTCTTTTTTTTTGCCCTCCAAGCACCCGCGCCACGCGCGCACATACAGACTAGAAAACACGCAATCAGAAAGAGAGAAGGCGGAACTTAAGGCAGAATAATCAGAGAGTTAAACCGAGAGGAAAAGAAGCGGCTGCTGTATAGTAAATTATAAACATGTTGTTCACATCCAATTATTGGTAGGGACAAATAGGTCCGTCCAAAATTTTGGTAGGGACATGTCCATATGGTCCCTATGCAAACCTACGCCCATGGCGCTGAGGATGTGGAAAAAAATATGCTTTTGGCTGCCTGATGTGATATCGATCACTTAGTTCCTTGAATCGATTTTTTTTTTTTTTTTTTTTGGCAAAACATTTACCATTTACCCAGTGGGTCGGTGCCCTCCTTAAATCATACCACCCCAACATTTACTCTCCGGATAAAGCTCCTACCTGGAGCTCAAGAAGTAATCCGATGTTAACTATCTAAATGATGCATGCAGTATATATAGCCCTTCCTCTTCATGCACATTCTTGTGATGGTTGGCATAAGGTGTAATTTTCTATTTCTTCAAACTGTAAAATCTTTGCAACAAACTAAATTATAATAAAACTAAAATGCTTTCTTTAAATCAAACTACGATGTTCCTCTCATATTTGGCAAATTTATGTTTGAATATTTTGCAAAAATATGTTGCGGTGCATGATGAGGTTTTGCATCTAAAGGCTAATGTTTCCCACCTTACAGTTTAGGATGGCCGTCTATGGGTAAAAAATGTTTTTCTTTAGATTTATGGCCTTAGAGCAGCTGTGATTGGTCCTTGGTATGGCTTTCCAGTTGTCTTGAAAAAGAGGTTTTTAATCTCAAAATAATTTAAATAAAATAAAAAACTTTAATTCAACCAGATCATCCAGTCAAATTGGTTCAATGTTTTCTAAAGCCGGGAATACACTGTAAGATTTTTTTTGCCCTTTTCGGGCTGATTCTCCAGTCGTGCGAGAATTTTTCGATTGGGCCGACTTTCAGCCTCATCGTGCATCGTGTAGTATACAGGTGGTAATGAGGGGTGATCGGCCTCTCACAAACACCTCAGGAATCGTAAGGTCAGGAGAAAATGAAACGTTTGAACTTCAGTCGTGGCGTTGTAAGATCGCATCAGAGCATCGGGACACACAGTGTGAGAACATGAATCGTGAGCTGTGAACTTTCAAACCCTGCGGTTTCGTTTTACAGTTTGAGCTGTAGCTGCGTGCAATGATTGAAAACTAATTGACTCAAAGCAATCCCTCAAACCAAGAATGCTTGAAGCGACAGTGGAGAAGAAAACTCCCTTTTAACAGGAAGAAACATCCAGCTGAACCAGACTCTGCGTGAGCAGCCATCCTCTGAGGCCGACTGGGGTTCAAGGAGACAGAAGCAGAAATAGAAAAGTTAACTGTCAACTAGCTCCACAGGCGGCCCCCTCCAGGAAACACAGCCAGGCTGATGAGCTCTGAGCCAGCTCCCATCCCAAGGATGAGAGAGAGCACATACAGTTAGTCACAGTCAGAGCAACAGTACTACACTGAAAAACAGGCCAGGCTGCAACATCTATTAAAAACGGTGTTGATGGCAGCAGCACAGCTGATATTTCTCTCCAGGATAATTTCACAGCCAAACAGGAACAGACCAGATGAAGCTACTCTGAGGAAAAGCAGAGAGAGCAGAACGTTAGAGATTGAACTAACAGATTCTGCAGAGTGGGAGAATAGAGATAGAATGAAGCAGAATGATGAAATAGGGGTCCCTATGTCCTCCAGCAGTCTAAGCCTATAGCAGCAGAACTATAGAGATAGCTCAGGATAACCTGAGCCACTCTAACTAGAAGCTTTATCAAAAAGGAAAGTTTTAAGCCTAGCCTTAAAAGTAGACAGGGTGTCTGCCTCACAGACTAAAACTGGTAGTTGGTTCCACAGGAGAGGAGCCTGATAACTAAAAGATCTGCCTCCCATTCTACTTTTAGAAATTCTAGGAACCACTAGTAAACCTGCAGATTGAGAGCGAAGTGCTCTGTTAGGAACATAAGGAACAATCAGATCTCTGATATAAGATGGAGCTTGGCCATTTAAGGCTTTATATGTGAGAAGGAGGATTTTAAATTCTATTCTGGATTTAACAGGAAGCCAATGAAGAGAAGCCAGGATAGGAGAGATATGATCTCTCTTTTTCATTTTCATCAGGACTCTGGCTGCAGCATTTTGGATCAGCTGAAGGCTTTTAACTACAGCTTATGGACTTCCTGATAGTAAAGAATTACAATAGTCCATAATGGAATTAATAAATGCATGGACTAGTTTCTCAGCATCACTCCTGGACAGGAGATTTCGAATTTTTTCAATATTCCGCAGATGAAAGAAGGAAATTCTAGAAACATCTTTGATATGGGATTTAAATGACAGGTCCTGATCAAAAACAACACTAAGATTTTTTACTTTATTATCTGAAATCGATTTAATCCCATAATACTTTTTGAGCATTCTGAGATACATCTGCTCACCTAGAGACCATGGATGCACACTACTTTTCAAAGTGAATCAGGGGAAATTATGAGTCCATCCATTAGAAATTTGGACTCTCATATAAAATGACATAACCACTCTATAGTGCTATATAGATTAATTTTTTTAGGGGGGGTTACAGCACTAGTGGCTCATTTTTTGGACAGTAGGCTGACAGGAAAGGGGTCATGAGGGAGACGTGATGCAAAGGACCACAGGTCGGATTCAAGCTCACGTCGAGAGCCAAGGCCTTGACGTGGGCCATGCTTACCTCTTGGGGCGGGCTTTCTTCTGTGGTGAGAAGCAAACATGCATTTCTATTGGTCTGCTGGATGTTAGGAACAACATTTTATTTGTCAAATGTCTGTGTGGGGTTTGACGTGTAGGTAATGCAATTTGTAAAAAGCAGTTTAAAGAAAGCAATTCTTAAAGCTCAAAGAGCAAAGTTGCTCTAAAAACTGTATTTTTGTTTGAGAAGCTTTATTTTTGAATTATTTCTTTTTTTGTTTTTTCAAACCTGTGACCCTTATTTGCTTTCAACAATAATGGAACAAAATTCACTCCATAGATTTTAGGAAGATGAAAATTGATCTTGAAGTAAAAATTGTTTTTCAGAGGATTTGAAAACAATTAAAACAGAAAACTTAGAAAAGTTTTTGTACAGATGACAGTGAGTTGGAGGAAAATTGTATTTTTTGTTAGTAGCTCTGAGAAAACGGGATCTTTAGCTGAAATCTTTGTATCATTTTAGGTTTACAAAATGCGAATCTCACATTGTTTCTGGAACAGAAAAGTTTGAAGAGAAACCTTCAAACATTGTTTGAAGGTTTTGATCTCTAAAGGTCAGAGTGAAATCTGTCTCCTTGGAAGCAAACAAATTAGGGGTTGATCCCAACTTTAACCAAACAAGGTGTCTCTATGTCACTCAAATTCTGTGGTGCAAATGTTTGCATGATTCCAAACAATGTTATTGGGAATTGAATAGTGAGCTGCATCCATTTTTAACTTTTTCTCCTGAAAAACATGCAAAACCCTGCAGCCACATCCCTCCCTCGCTCATGTCTTTTTTTTCCAGAAGTGCCCTGTTTTCATTTTCCGGCTATAATTAGCCTATCATGTGCAAACCTGACCTCCTTCATCCCGTTCTTCTCTGTGGTTCCTTTGCCTCTGCTGCACAGACATGGCCGACCTGCTGAGGCTGCTGCTGCGGGTGGCCGAGAAGGCTGCGAACGTGGCTCGCCTCTGCAGACAGGACGCCCACCTCTTTCAGCTCCTGGTGCAGGAGAAGACCGGAGAGGACAAGAACAAGAAGTTCGTGCAGGACTTCAAAACGCTGGCCGACGTGGTGATCCAGGAGATGATTCGGCATGATGTTGGAGTTCAGGTGATCAACGATGAGTCAGCAGAGAGCAGCACAGCTGGAGATCAGGGTTTTTTACTGTCCTGTTTGTTTTTTTATGTGCAGTTCCCTGAGATGTCTGATTTCATTCATGGAGAGGAGTCAAACAAGTTTGAAAACGGGCTTGGTAATTACTCGCATATCTTCTTTTTTATGAAGTTTGCTTTTCATCTTTGCTGGCTTCTAACTCACGATACTACAGCAGTAACAAAACGTAAAAAAAAGAATGGCAGCAATAGCTGCTGAAGAGTCGGGAGAAATCTGCCAGAAACCTCAGGGAGCATAACTCAGCTGCATAACGGCTGCAGTTTCCACCTCTGATGGCAGTTTATATTCTAACAAAACTACGATGAAAAGAAAAATCTATTGGGTTATCACTAGGACTGCAGCTTAATGTATTTTGGTAATCCATTCACCCGTTTATCAGTTTTTTTTATTAATAATCGGAAAGCAAAAGACGCCTAAATTACATTTTTATATGATGCTGACATTTTTTTCTATTATTAGGCCAGTAGTTAAAATAGAAAAAATGTCACATTACACGACTATGTACCTTTGAGGTTTTCTAAAAGTATTATTCTATTAACTTGCAAATAATCCAGAAAAATGAAATTAACAACAGCAGAAAAATTCAGAAAACTTTTCCCTTTAGTGTTGATACCGGATACCTACTACTATAATAGTAGGTTTGCTTTGATAACTCTACCTAAGACAAATGTCTCTAAAGGGAGGTAGCCTGGAGAGCCAGCAGACCGGCACTTCACCCAGAGTTTTAAAAGCACTTTGCCTGTTATTCCCCTACTATAGTCATTCACTGCTTGGGAAAAAAAAAAGCATTCAGTCAGTTTGTGTCATTTTCACGGCCTCTTATTGGAGATCCTGGTTCTTCAGTCGTTTTCTTTTCTCCTTCACTGGACTGAGTGGAGAATCTGAGAAAATAAGGACATTTTCCAAGCAGAGGTTTCTGGAAGGAACCGAGGAACACAACGTAAAATTGGCTGCATGTAAACAAAGAGAAACTGTTTCTGTAAACCATAAAAAGCATGGTACACTGCATAAACTGATCTAAATCACCAAAAATGTCTTAAAATAATAGTCATTCAAGCAGGTAAATAAGATAATTTGCCAATAAAACAAGTATTTCCCCCCTTAAAGTAAGATAATTAGATATTATACTCTTTAAATATGATGATGGATCAGCTCTTATTGTCCCCTAGCTGGCCTGGGTGTTATAATGTTTTGGTTTTATAGATCAAATACTGTCAAACAAGATTTCTGAAAAGGATTTATCTGCTTTGAGAAACAATAAAAAATGATGATGCGTTGCTGAGATTTCTGGTCTGGCCTTAAAAGAAGCAACCTTTTCACTCTAACATGACTAAAAACAGTCCAGCAGTCAGAGCTCAGCAAATATGAGCAGACATGTCACTCTCCAAACATGGAACGCCTGACGTTTGGAGTGAATCTCGCTGTTTTGAACAGGGGAAAGCGTGGCGGTGACTGTGTGCAGCACGGAGGAGGAGACCGCCAAGCTGCTGGCCACTGTGTTAGACGGCGACCAGGCGGCAGCGGCCCTGCTGGCCGGGGCCATCCACCAAGATCCGGCCACCATAGAGGCGACCATAGACGGACTGACGGTTCCCCTTAAACCCTCTGAGCTGGGCATCTGGATCGACCCAATAGGTAACAGCAAAAAAAAAAAACTCACCAGCTGCTTTAATAGCTCCAAAAAAAGAAAAATCTGAGTTTTAACGTCTTTGTTATGTTTGAAGACGCCACCAGTCAGTACATAGAGGGGCGAGAGGAGGCTCTGGAGGAGGGCCGCTTGTTCCCTTCAGGTCTTCACTGCGCCCTGGTTCTTATCGGGGTGTACCTGCGGAGCACGGGCGAGCCGGTCATGGGCGTGATCAACCAGCCGTTCCACAACAAAGATCCAGGAGGTTCGAGGTGAGTTCAGCAACGTTTGTTCTCGTCCGGCTGGTTTGAGCAGCTGTCAAATTTAGTGAGGCTCTTCAACAGAAAGGCTTTGAAAATACATTTTTTATTGCAATGATTAAATAATGGATTGAGAAAAACTATTAACAAACACCTTCATTTTTGTTTTAAATAGTCCAGTTATGAGAAGCTTTTAAAATATTTACTTTAAATACTAAATCTGAAACAGTTTTATTTTTTTGGCTCTTCTGACTCTCCTTGAGCTCCATAATTCCTGAGTTATACGGAGCGCCAAACTATAACGTACATAATTCTGAGTGTCTCCTGAAATAAGTAGATGTCACATAAGTATTGGTAAGCAGAGACTCTAGTTGCTTAGGGGTCCGCGACCTCTTAGGGGCCCCGTCACTGACACCTGGTTGGCCCCCTACAAAATTGTGGACTAGGACGCCTCTTTGCAGATTTAATGGTGCAAAAAATTCCTCTTAAGCCCAACTGATACTT